ATAGACCCCCCCCACCCCCCTATAGAGCCCGGGGGGGGGCGTTACAGGCCCTATAGGGCCCCTGGGGAGCCATAGGGTGCCTATATAGGTCCCTATAGCCCCCATACGGCCCCCCCCCGGGGAGCCCTAGGGCCATATAGCCCCACAGGGCCCCTATAGAGCCCCCGGGGGCCGTATGACACCTATAGAGCCCCTATAGAGCTCCTATAGAACGCTACAGCCTCCATATAGAGCCCCTATAGAGCCTCAGGGGGGACGTATGACACCTATAGAGCTCCTATAGAACGCTACGGCCTCCATATAGAGCCCCTATAGAGCCCCAGGGGGCCCTATGACACCTATAGAGCTCCTATAGAACGCTACAGCCTTCATATAGAGCCCCTATAGAGCCCCAGGGGGACATATGACACCTATAGAATGCTATGGCTTCCATATAGAGCCCCTATAGAGCCTCAGGGGGGCCGTAGGATACCTATAGAGCTCCTATAGAACGCTATGGCCTCCATATAGAGCCCCTATAGAGCCTCAGGGGGGATCTATAGAGCCTCAGGGGGGACCTATAGCCCCCCCATAGGCCCCTATGGCCTATAGAGCCTCAGAGAAGCTCTATAGCCCCCATACGACAGCTATATAACCCCTATAGAGCCCCAGGGACCCATATAGAGCCCCGGAGAGCACCTATAGACCTCCAGGGGGCACCTATAGCTGCCTTATAGAGCCTCAGGGGCCCCTATGGGCATCCTATAGAACCCCAGAGGGCCCCTATAGAGCCCCAAAGGGCCCTATAGCTGCCATAGAACACCTATATAACCCCTATTGAACCCCTATATAGCCCCAGGGGGGGCCTATAGCCCCCATACGACACCTATACAGACCCAAGGCCCCCTATGGCCTCGCTATAGAGCCCCTATAGAGCCTTAGGGGGCACCTATAGCCCCCCCAAGACCCCCAGGGGGGGCCTATAGCCCCCATACGACACCTATACAGTCCCATGGGCCTCTATGGCCACCCTATAGAGCCCCTATAGATTCCAAGGGGCCCCTATAGATTCCAAGGGGCCCCTATAGAGCCTTGGAGGGGGGGCCCTATAGCCCCCAAAAAGCCCCCCCACCCCCCAAATAGGCTACAGGGGCTCCTATAGGGCCATATAGAGCTATAGGGCCCCCCCCTCATTGACACGTA